GTAGTAGTAGTAGTAGTGGTGCTAATCACATTCTTAGCAACAAGAATAACCAAAATATGGTAATACTAACAGTACGAAGCATATGCTCAAGAAGAGGAAGAGTAGCAATAAAAGCAACGATAATCAGATAAATAAACGTTGTTGTCTGTGTGTCCTTCTATCCTATGGTTTCTGACGGGCCCTGCAAGGGGGTGCCTTACCAGCCTACTGCGACCGATCCTGGCACTTCGCCGGCGCTCGCCCGCGCATCCGCACCTCTGTGAGGGGTGCTGGTTCTCACTTGCAGGGTTTGCGGTGTTTCGGACTTAGAGTTTGTAACAAGGGTTCAGGGGTTTGGGGCTTGGGCTTTGATGTTCAGGACTTATGCATCTAGTGAATCTAGTCTGATTAGCCAGCCCCGTACTCCGTGCCCTAAACTGACACCCTAAAGCCTAGAAGTATTCGACCCACAGGCACTAAAAACCTTGGGATTTTCTGTTGCAGAGCAAAGCCGATGCAACAAATGTACCCTGAGCCCTCAATATCAGAAGGCATTCGCCTTTGCTGTTGAATTGTGATGGCGGTCAAAAAAGGCCGGGTGACTCCCTCTTGAAGAGCTTCTGCGACGAAGTCTTGGGGGGCGGGGCGTCCCTGGGAAGCCTCTACGCATACCTGAACCTGTCGGAGGCGGGGCGATCCTTGTTACAGTGCTTTGCTCACTCGACGCAAGAAAGGTTGCAAGCTGAGGGTTGAAGCTTGGTCCATGGATATGCACTGGCTGTAGCAAAAAATTGCAACCAATCTAAGCCATGGGCCCTCATGTATGACAAGAATGCGGGTGTATATACATATACACAGACGCACGCATACAAGGTGATTTACGAGCTTGTTTGCCGATCGTTTGGGGTTAGATAGGGTCTTACAGTCTTCTCTTTCACAGGGTCTTCTTTGTGACCTTGGGTCTCGCGCTAGGGTCTTCTGAGAATCGTTTGCTGTGCTTGTAGACTTGTGGAAAGTAGAGAACTGCGGCTAGTATGGTTGCGATGACTTGTCTAAACAGGAACCCAACCTCGAGACAAACACCAAATATTTGTAGCGCCGGAAGCCACAGGCCCTCAACTCACGTATTTATGTACGTACGTACGTATGTATGTACGTACGTACGTATGTAGGTATGTAGGTATGTAGGTATGTAGGTATGTAGGTATGTAGGTATGTAGGTATGTAGGTATGTAGGTATGTAGATAAAGCGCTTGTAATCCGGCATCTAGTATCCCTCTGTTCAGAACCCTTCGAAAGCACTTACAAAGTCGTTTTGCGAGGCTTTGCTGGTGCTTCGGCCCACCTGCCGCGCACTGGCCTCGGCGTCCAAGGCCGGGCAGGGGGGGGACTAAGGGTCCTCATGTTCAGGATCTCATTCTGTTCGGGTTTTGCTTGGCGAGATTGGCAGCTCAGGGCTAAAGCCGGCTTCTTCTCTGGTCAAGTTTGCCGCTACTCTTGTGAGTAGGGTCCAGCTTTGGAGAGTGTTCCACCCTTGCAGATCCCCAGCTCCAGAAGCCCAACCAACCAGGCTATTCCCAGACTGAGGGCACCCCTGTCCATCGAGCCCCAGGACGACTTTTTTGGAAGTTTTAGAGCTTGGGGCGGACAGTTGGTTTGGGATGCTTTGGGGATTCATAAGTTAAGAGGATGATTTAAGGTGTTTAGGGTGTTTGGGGACGTGGGGGTCAAAGAAACGCTTTTCTATGGTTTGAGTTTGAGGAACGTTGTTCGGCAACTTTTGAGGTAATCCTCAGGGCAACAGTCCCCGGCTGCCTCGCCTGGTCTTCATGCTTGCTCTATCATCCCAGTTGCCCAAGTGTTGGGTTCTTTGGCGTGTTGTTTGGCGTTGCAGCAATTTCCTAAAGAACTGCCGAAGTCTGAAGCCCTGGCCCTTGACGCTGACCTCTCTCAACACCCACAACCACCCTAAACTGCCTTTTCAATGGCACTAACCAGGACATCGAGTCGCCCTTTCCTAAAGCCCGGTTTTTGGAAGGACATCGAGGAGTTGGTGGCCCTTTTTGTGCGAGTCCCAGCCCTTGGCCATACACCGAGTCGCCAGGCCCTGCCGTTTTGGGGGCTATTGCTGGTTTCAAGGTTGTTATGTTTTGATTATCGCATGGTGTTGGGTTGTGCATGGCGTTGGGTGGTTTTGTAGGATTCAGTGTGTTGAGTCTTGGGGACTCAGTGCTCAAATTCAGCGTTTCGTGCCGGTTTGGGGTTCTGATGATTGCAGACACAGGCTCGAAGTTGGAAGGCGAGCCAGACGGCGAGCATCATCAGCATCATCG